CTGGTGCAATGCAAAACAGCGAGACGATCGAAAGAATTTGAAAGTATCGACGTACCACAAGTGTCTCATTGGAATCATTAAACAAAGAATGTCGTAGCTTCCGATTCTTGAAATCGATGGATTTATAGTTCGCATAAAAATCCGCGATCTGGTGACGAAACTATGCTCGACGTTCGTCGTGTCTCGAAGCGCGAGAAATTCTCACGAACGATTCTCCGCGACGGAATTAAAAACCATTGTGACAACTTATTAATACAAACAGCACGCGTTGCGCGCAATCCCCCGGAGTTGACGCGACGTTTATGGTCCCCGGAGGCTCCGAGGCGCTTATGCTAGTGTAATTAGATTTGGACGTGCGTGCGCTGCAGCCCGCCACCCTAATGTCATCTCTCGTATTTACTTGATCTCCGGCGACTCGTAGGGAACACCGTTGATCCTGTCCCGCAGCCACGGAGACCTTTTCATTCGTATCCGACGTATTTCGTCGCGTCGCATTCTCTTTACGACGCGCGGTCGGTTTTTTCTCTCGATATTCATGGTTATGAATTATTGAATGACTGCCTCGCGTTTGAACCACCGAGACGATCGAACTGTTGCGATTATTCGTTGCGGGGACTTCTTCTGCGAACCGAAGCCGCAAGAAAAGAATACATTACCAAGTATTCGACGTGGAGCCGCGGCTGAAACGATTTTAGAAATAACGAATTAACCCTTTAATCGCGAGCAGCGGAGTCGGACAGACTCTGCAGTAAATATTATTATTTAAAAATTGTTCTGCCATAATTTCTCGACGAATTTTCTTCGGCTTATAAACAAAAATGGACGATTTGGGACAATTATTCGAGCCTTGCGACTGTTATTATTTAAAAATTATTCGGCCGTAAGCTGATCCAGAAGTTGTTACAGTAATTTCTCGTCGAGTTTTCTTCGGCTTGTAAACAAATATGGACAATTTGGGACAATTATTCGAGCCTTGCGGCTATTATTATTTAAAAATTATTCTGCCATTAGCTGATCCAGAAGTTGTTACAGTGATTTCTCTCCGATTTTTCTTCGGCTTGTAAACAAAAATGGACAATTTGGGACAATTATTGGAGCCTTGCGGCTATTATTATTTAAAAATTATTTTGCCATTAGCTGATCCAGAAGTTGTTACAGTGATTTCTCTCCGATTTTTCTTCGGCTTGTAAACAAAAATGGACAATTTGGGACAACTATTCGAGCCTCACGGCTCATTTTTGTAGTTGTCGATTGTCAATAGTTATAAAAACGAGGCTCGAATAATCGTATTTCCTCTTCTCAAATGGTCCATTTTCGCTTTAAAGCTGAAGGAAAATTAGAGAGAATTTACTGTACTTCTTCCTCTCCTGCCAACGTGTACAATACACATTATATTTAATTTCTATGTAAGAATTAATATCATATTCATTTCATAAACGATATATATTTTAGCGAACAATTGTCGGAAACTCGTGTCCACAGTTAAGATTTAAGTAGAACCTTCGAAATAAGTGTTGCACAAGATGATTGGATCATCGATGAGCCTACGAATTCTTTGTTTCATATGCCATTTGTTATAAGCGAAAGAGTTTAGTGTGTAAATACAACGCGTTGGCTGCCAAACGAGCAACAACAAAAGTTTCTACGAAATGAAAACAGCTTAAAAACCGAAGCAGCATCTTAAATAAAAATTGATTACGGTGTTTTCACCATTCTCCACCTCGCAGAGCCTAAATAAAATGAGTACACTCGATCGCAGAAATCACAGAAATACATTTACACACAGAAATCAATTTTCAAATCGGAAAAAAGTGATTTCGGGATGAAAAGAAATTCTATTTTATGTCAGTCTTCCCGCGAATATCATTGTTAAGTATACAAAAATCTGGCGTTGCCGCGGCTTGGTTGGCCGGAAGATCGAGAAACGGCTCGTTTCGCCGGATTATACCGAGGATAATTTGATTTCCCGATCGCAAGGACATCGCGTCGGCGTCGGCGACGGCGACGGCGGCGTTGCCGGTCGTCGGCTGCTCATTAAGAAGGAAAAATTGAAAGGCCTGTGCCGTCCGTAGGGCGGTAAATTGGGGCTCTGTCCTTCTTTTGTCTTGTCCTTTGGCTCTTTCTCCTCCGGTGCGCCTCGTCCTTTTTCTGCCTCCCCCTTTTCGCCTACGAGTTGTTCACGACTCGTTCGAGAGCGCAAGTCCGCGAAGTCCTGGGATCGATTCCCGGCTCAGCAGGAGGCTCCTCCTCTTACCATGACGGCCATCTTGCAACCGGCACTGGTCTCACTATATCACATCACACTTCACTGTATCCAGGTTGCATACTTACAGTCAGCCATGCGACCGCACCCTGACTTTGTACCTCTCGGTGTTCCTCGGTTCTTACCCCGAGAACGCCGCCTTCCTTCCGGTCGCTCGGCGTCCTTCCACCATCCCCGAACGATTCGTTATCGCGCGTGTTCGTTAACTTCGCGTCTACGAATCGCTTCTGACCCGTAACGTGTCGGGCGATTTCACAATTTCCGTCGCGGGAAGAATTCTTTGAATCGTTGCGCCTCTTGAAGTTTAACGTTGAATTCGGGATTTTATATTTTCGTTAAATTTCATAAACGTCGCGTCAACTTCGGGGGATTGCGCGCAACGCGTGCTGTTTGTATTAATAAGTTGTCACAATGGTTTTTAATTCCGTCGCGGAGAATCGTTCGTGAGAATTTCTCGCGCTTCGAGACACGACGAACGTCGAGCATAGTTTCGTCACCAGATCGCGGATTTTTATGCGAACTATAAATCCATCGATTTCAAGAATCGGAAGCTACGACATTCTTTGTTTAATGATTCCAATGAGACACTTGTGGTACGTCGATACTTTCAAATTCTTTCGATCGTCTCGCTGTTTTGCATTGCACCAGTTTGTCGTAAATGCATAGAATTCGCATTTATTGCAATCGAATCGTCGATAAAGCTTGATATGGTTCAGCTAAATTTCGATTCCCCTCTCCGACGGATTAGAAAAATAAGGAACACGATGAGATTGTAATAAACAGACTGCGGATTTTATGCAACTACGGCAAAAATGAATGAATCGAGTACGAAGCTGTAAAAACGTATAAACGATTTAGAAACACGTTATTCTCAACTTGTTGCAGTGATCGAGGAGTGAAATAAATATCTATGCAGCTTCTGTGTCTTGCAATTGATGCAGACAATTTTTATTTTTCATAAAAATCCGCCGTAATAAATTGTAACGAATCGCGATCGATTTCGTGTGACTTCGTGTAAGTTCGCGGCGCAGAATTATCACAAAAACAATTCTGAAGCGCGAAATAAAATTCTCAGAAAATTATTAGATCCTGTTTATTGATTAAGAGCATATTCTCAGTAATTAACACTAACCTTACGAAGTTCTGAAAATGTCATGCTTTGGGCCATTTTTATTGCAATGAATAAAGGAATTCATTTACGGTTCGAGATCTTTTTAGAAACTAGAATAACGCACACGTTTACGATAGTGTTGTCGACATGATTGCATCCAGATTCGCCGATTTATAGTTGCGTCCACGTTTCTTCGTGCGTTTCAACTAATTTAGCATAGGTAAATCGACGAAATACGAACTCAAGACGCGTTTGGAAAAAAGCGAATAGAACTTTGACATATTCGCGTAGAATATATATACCTATATACATGTACACGTACATATACATATGTCTTGGCGATAGAACGTGTGTCAAATTGCGGGACTTTTCATTATCTCAATCAACCATGAGGAAAGCTGAGTTCCAATAAGGAAACCCGGCGCATCGACTTTCTCGACTGAATAAAACTGCTCAAATTAGCTTCGCACGGATAAGTCGGCTGCGAAACTCGAAATACAAGATGCGTTTGAAAAAGGACGAACAGAACCTCGAAATGTTCGCATTAAAAGATCCTCTTGGCTACGGAGCGCGTGTTAAACTGCGAAACTTCGTGCTATATCTTCGACCACGAGGAAAGTTGAGCCCCAATAAGGAAATTCAGCATCGCTTTTCCCAGCCAATCAAAAATGTAGTTAGCCAAACAAGTTTGTCATTTTATGACTGTGTTTTATCGCGAATTTAATAATATTATTCCCGTCAGATTTACGTCTGTACTTTATGATCTTATCGCATAGTCTGAAGCGTTATTACGCCAATAACCTGTATTCGAGTAAATTGAATCAGAGTTGGTTTTTAATTGACTGGAAAGTAACTCGATACTTAAATTATATTGCACGGAGTTGTAAGACTAGTCGTAAGAATATTAAATTTCCCTTCGATATAGCACGGTTATGGAACATTTTGTGCATCCGGCAGATAAATCGTTAGAATTAATTCTATAAAGAATAGGATGGGTCATCTGTTGGTTTCTTTTTAAAATTGTTATAAGAAGGAAAACCGTTTACCATTTGCCGAATAATTATGACAAATAATATCATTTAAATAGCTGTCACGACTGGCTTGCCAATACCCTATACTGTCGCCTAATTTTTTAATACAAGGTTTTTGCTTTATTAAAAAGAGTAACTTAATTATGACACATAATTATGACAAATAATTTCATTTAATTGGCTGTCACGACTGGCTTGGCAATAGCCTATCCTGTCTTCAATATATATTTATAAAATAAATATAAATATATATATAAAATAAATTAATATAATAATAAAATATAAATATATATTTTCCAATATATATTTTTTTTCAATATATTTTCGATTGTTCTTGGCTCTGTTTCACAAACAGCTCCATGGATATTTCCTTTAATTAACTTGTTTAGGGTAACAACTGTTAGAATAACAACGGCCCTCAGCATTTCCCCATAAAGAGAGGTTCAACGAAATCTTGGAAAAACACTAAACCGTTCCTTAGTATATTAACTTGAAAAAGAAACCAAGCACATGGCCCATCCTATAGAACTGCAGAATTTTCTGAAACTCGAGAATCGCGTTTGCTAAACGTCGTTTGTTTTCGTTTCTGTTCCAGGTTCTCAAGTACTGCGACCACTTGCACGGAAAATGGTACTTCTCGGAGATCCGGGCGATCTTCTCCCGTCGGTATCTGCTTCAGAACGTGGCCATCGAGATCTTCCTGGCTAGCAGAAGTAAGTCGTGCTGCGACTCGTTTCGTTTGTTTTCAGAGGATCGCGAAGTGCAAAAGTCGGCGGCGGCGGCGGCGGCGGCTCTCAAACCGACGCGCATTCCATTTCTTGCTCGATCGGCCGTGCCTTTCTGCATTATTTCACACGACGCGATCTAATCTGGCAAAATGGAAACGGAATCCGGAGCTCGCCGAGAGCCGCGCGCCCCCGTGCGCTTTTTACGCAATAAATATCTGCTCCGCATTACGCCGTCCCCTTTTTTCGCGGTCTATCGGCTGATCCTGGCTACACCTGCTGTCCCTCAATCTTTTCCTATCATTCTGTAGACTGAAGTTTGCTGATACGGGACGCCCGATTTGGAAAGCTTGTCGAAAATAGCGGCGAACATCCATTTTTAAGCGAACACCCGTCGTCTCGAGAAGTCAATGATTCGAGCTTATTTGTGGCAGCATCGTGTTTGTCATGGTTTATTGACTGGAAATTAGACTTCGGAGAGGTTTCGATGCAAGAATGATACTTCAGAAAATGATACAAGAAGCATAGAGAATAGATCAAGCATGATAAGAATAAAGATTTTTCGCACGGCTGTCCGATCTCTGGTCTTTTATTGAATCTGGTGAAGCATAGATACTGTTTCTTCACACTTTATTTTTCAGTGAGATATCGTAGCTTGTCATTCGAAAAATAAGACAGCTCTTCGAACGAAGACAACGAAGGAATGAATTTTCATTCACTTTTATCATTTAAGATTGGAGAATAAAGCAAAAGAATGGTCCCTCGTTCAATCGGTTACCTGTGGCGTCTCCTTTTCAGATGATCAAATAAAGGACGCTGTTAAAATGTCGGATGGAAAAGACGATTTTATTTGATAAAATTTACAATTTTATCACTAACATGTACTTATTCACTTAACATTAACATATACTGCATACGTAATAAACGGAAAACGCAGGAAAACTCAAATACTTATAAAAGTTAGAAATTCAAAAATTCGAACTACAATATAATTATTCGTATAATTATTCATATTTTTTGTTTGTTTAACTCTGAGCCGGTCTCAAAGTATTCTAAGCATCTTGTAATTTCAGAGTATGTTTTTCTTTTCACTAAAATTACAATTTAAATAGCCAATGGCCGCTACTTTTTACGCGCGACGAGTATACTCGTCGCGACACAAACTACTCCCGCTTCTCCATGACGAGTATACTCGTCGCGACACAAACTACTGCCGCTTCTCCATGACGAGTATACTCGTCGAACACGGCTAACTGGTCAAACAAGTAAAACGCGGATGTACTTCTGAATTTCACGAACGATTTTTGCCCGCGACTTCAAAGACGACGAGCGAAGCAACGATGCCAGAAGACGTTTTACATGGTCAACGAAGGCAGGCGATTACAGTTTTCGCTGTCTAATTGCTGGCCGGGTAACACAAGCACGTAGAACTCCCTCGCAGGGGATAATATCTTTTAGATTAGCATCGCGACGCCACCGATACAAGACGCCCGGTTGCTTCTTACTCGCTCGTTAAACTCTTCCAGCGCGGCCGATCGCCGCCGCGACAGACATAAAGCGTTCTGTCGTTCGTTACGGGGCGACGTTATGAAAGGAGGAAACGGACGGTTCTCGTTATCTCGATTTCATTGTGAGGTGTTAAAACATTCCTCGTGGCCGGTTCGGGGGCCTCGCAGCGGCGATTCGCTTGAAATATAGTTGTTCCTGCGAAGAGGATCGTCGCCGGCCGCGTACATACTTGGACAAACGTGGGAGAATCACTTATACCTGGGCCCCGGCGGGCCCCGCAATCCCGCTGATTATTTCTCCACGGGCGCAGATAAATTTCCGGCCTGGTCGTCCCTCGATTCTAATCTGATCCCGACATTCGATGCGTCGTGAAACGCTTGCCGCTCCGCGCCAGCGGAATGTCATCTCTGCGCGAGAACGGCGAAGGGGGAGGGCGAGGGGTGGCTGGTCGTTCATTAAAAAATTACTGGAAACGCGCGCGCGTTCGTTAACGGGACCGGTAAAATGCCACGGACCGGGCCGCGATAAATCCTGCGAACAATAAAAGACAGGAAAAAATTACGAGCCGGTCCGCTTTATGCCTCGAAACGCGACGGAACTTTCACGGGACTTATGCGGGACGCGAAGAAAATCCTTTCGGTTTATTCGGTGACTACTTGGAATCGTGGCCATCTTCCTTTTTCGAGGATCTTCTGGAGACGCTGATCTAAGCAATCGTCCGACTGTGATTATCCCAGCAGCACAGAGATTAACGCTTCGACTGACATGTTGTACATACGTCGGTGACGGAATTACGTGCTCAGATTTGAAAATTAATTTGTGCGCTGGTGCATCGCAATCTTTCTAATTTTATTAGGATCCGCGAAACGCGACAATAAAATGATAATAAGAAAGTCTATTACTGTCGTACAACTCTTCTTTGCAATTTTAATTTAACTCTTCGGATGACAGAATTGTTTGAAATTTAATTTGTACAAGTTACTTTTCACCCTGATCCATTATATAATCTCTTAATTTTCTTAAGACTCGCAACAGGTAAAAAATTTCAAAAAATTAATCGATGCCATAGAACTTTGCTTTTCAATTTTAATTCGACCAAACGAACTACTTTAATTTTATGAAATTGTCGAGGCGATTGGTTATTAAAGAAGACACGTTGAAGAAGAATTTTTAATAACACGAATTTGCAAGTAAACCTAAAGTTCTCGCATCGCTGCCTTTTTCTCGCGATTCGAAGATTTCATTGTGCCGTCTCGGATTTCACTGCATGAAAAATGGTCCCCCGTTCCCCCGCGACAATGATCGTTACCGCGTTTTTTCTGTAAATACGGCGTGACGTGCAGGATTTTAATCGCGGTCCAAACACGGCCGGTTAAGTTATTTAGTTTATGCACGCACACGGCTCGTGTTACACGCCGCAAGAATGCGGTGTCTTCGTCGTTGGGAAACCCGCCGTAATTCGGATCAAATGGTGGCTCGTTGCTTCTCGCGAGTTTGATTCCGTATCTTTACGAGCCCCGGCGTTTATGCCGCGGCTATTATACTTTGTAATAGGAAATTAAGCAGCTATCATTTTTACTTTCAGATTGTGTTTTATGTTAATTGGGCAGGTCTTCCTGCAATTATGATGCGCGCGCGGCCTTGTACGATACAAGGATACCAATGTATTAACGGGCATTAATATTTATTGCAGCATTTTTATTTTATCATCGTCACGGTTTAGCCTTGACAATCGTTCTTCTATCCTGATTTTTTGAGATTTCTCAGTCATCTATCACATACATATACGTATAACGGCGTTTCATAGCGACCGGCAATAGAGAATTTTTGCTAATAACCGCGCTTTTTTTCGTATCAGCTGAGAACAGATATCAAAGGAGGCCGTTTTTTTTCAAAAAGAGACTCGTCAAAAATGTTTACGCGCGTCAGCGGTGTTAGAAGGGTTAATAGATATGAAAAGGGGACCAGTTTTTTAAAGAGTCGTCAAAAATGTCTACGCGCGTTCGCCGGGAACGCGAAAGGCAAAGAGGATGGCGAGCTTTCTTTGATTCCGCTACCTCTCTGTGATCCCGGCTTTTACTTTCCTTCTTTCTTGATTAAGACCGACTCGTATATTCCGCCGCTGTATTCGGCGTTACATAAATTACACGCACGTATTTATGGTAACTGTCGCTTCGCACGCTACCCTTTGAACTCGCGAGGGAGCTGCAGCCGATCCGGCCGATGGCTATTAAAGTCCGTGAAATTAAGTCCATCGTGTAACCCTTCTTTTCATATTTCCGAATTTAACTTCTCGGTCTAGCCGCGTGTCCGCGCACCAGTCATTTTCGATTCATCATTCTCTCCAATTAGATTAAAGACAGTCGTTCTTTCACGTGCAAATGAATCACGACGCTTCGACGATTTAGATTAGCAATTCGTCGACTGTCGCTCGCTTGAATTGTTACTGGAAATACTAATACTGAAGGAATTCTTTTTTTTTTCGTCGTGGCAAGGTATTTTTATGCATACTGTACCGATTCCTTGAAATGCTTTTAAGTGCTTCATTCAAATTGGTTACTATGTATGTGGAAATAATAGTTATATTAATAATAAATAAATAATAATAATAGTTATATTAATAATATATTAATAATAGTTATATTAATAATAAATAATAATAGTTATATTAATTAATATTTCAACTTTTTTAGTACCTTGCTTTATGTTATCGTGCTTCCTCGTCGCAGTTGAAACATGATCTATTAAGTATAGATGTTTTTTACTCTTTCATCTATTATATCAGAATAAAATTCTATTCTTTCTACCTGGTATCGATATTTCAACATTAGAATAAAGCTTGATAGTCAATACAAAGCCGGACACTATTATGTGTTAATGTTTTAGTCGGGTGTTTTAACCCTTTGCACTCGAAGCTATTTTAATAGTAAACCTAAAATAATTCTTCTGACTTACAGTATTTCCATTTTATATAACAAAATGCATTTTATGCATATGAAATTAAGTCTTCTGATATAAAAATTATCTTGGAACGTGATACAACAATGTTAGTGGTGCCTCAGAGTCACCACTCGAGTGCAAAGGGTTAATATTGGAATGGCGGATCCCTTACTGACAAAAATACGACAGAATATGCTTAGGATATACTTTTATTATATATATTATTTTATTATATATTATATATATTATATTATATTTAATATATATAATAATTTATGTATATATAAATTAAATATATATTTATAATTTGAATCTTTAACTTTTACAAGTATTTGACTTTCCCTGCGTTTTTAGTCTATTATGTACGTAGCATATGTTAACGTTAAGTGAATAAGTAAATATCGGCAATAAAATTGTTAATTTTATCAAATAAAACCGCCGTCATCGCTTGATTCTCGCGACACATATAGGCGCGCGTTCTGAAAAGGAGGCACCACAGCTGACTGGTTAATTAGTGTATTTGTTCACGCAGAGACAGCTACGATGTTGTCGAATGATGCGTTATTATTAATTACACTATATCTATACAAACCAGATGTCAGATGCAATGACGGTACTGCTTCGTCGGTACAGATTTACGGTTACTTTCAACATCATGCTCGAGAACGTTCTGTGAAACTGTCGAAGCAATTTTCACGGGTCCGAAAGTTTGTCCGTGAGCCAAGTGTCAAGAGTGGCAAAGCGGCCGATGACCCCGTGGCGTGGTATACAGATTACGTGTTAAAAGAATCCCGCGCGCGAAACAGGGCCCGACGCGTCGGGGCCGGCGATGCGAGTAAGAAGTTCGTCCTTGCCTGCCATCCCTCCGAATGATTGACACACGACGATCCGTCGACGAAATTGGGCCCGCTTATAATCCGCGGTTTAACGCCTTTTTGTCCGCAGCCTCGATCCTGTTCGCGTTCCCGGACCAGGCGACGGTGAAAAAGGTGATCAAGGCGCTACCGCGAGTCGGCGTGGGCATCAAATACGGGATTCCGCAGACTAGGTAAGAACCGCCGTGGGCCCGGCATATAGGGCCGGAACCCCTTTTCGCCAACATCTGGATCTAGGGATCTCGGGCCTGGAACACGCTCCCCGCATTCCGCTCTTTCTTTGTCCCCGGCCGCGGGATTCCGATCGCGATCAGGATCGGATCTAGGACTTTCTTGTTCTTGGCGGCGCGTATGCGACCAGATCGAACGATAAAGGACGCGGATGGTTATCGAGAAGCTTCCCGGACAGATGGCATAACACGCCTGGAATGCGTCGCGACGACGGATCCGTCGACGTTATTGACTAATAGCGGTTTTTAGTTGCGTGCTGCTCGCGTCCTCGCTGCGATTGAGAAATTTGTTGCCAAGGATATTCGACGACTCTTCTGTCTTTTCGTCCATCGGTTATCGCGCTGTGAACGATGCTTCATCGTTGATCACATTCACGAGTCGTCGTTTATTGTCCATTTTCACCAATCGACGCTCAGATTGTGCACAAAGATGGACAATTTGGGAGGAGGAGATACGATTATTCGAGGCTTTCGGCTCAGTTTTGGTTAATTTTACACCAAAATGGCTTTCGACGACACGTGTCGCTTGATTGAACAGCACTTTCATTGCAAAAGCGTAAACTAGAATTGGCCACAAAGTAATCCGATTAACGACCAACGATTCTAACTCATTAGTTATAACAACAATTTATAATAATTAGTCATAACTAATTTGTAATAATTGAACACAAAGTAATTGAGCAAAAAGTAGCTACTTTTAATTAGTAATAATAACAAACGAGTTGCAATCGTTGATCATTAATCAGATTTTTCTCCGATTACCACAAATTGTCTATAACAAGTAACGAATTATAATTGTAATCGGTAATCAAATTACATTTTGCCCAACGCTGGCACAAACTATAAAACGAATTTTCAGACTAGATTATTTCGAAAACGGAGCCGAAAATAATACAATCTTCTTCCTTACATTTTTCTCATTTTTCGCGTAAGGAATCATCTTCACTGCTCTCTTCAACGCGTTATTCGGACGCACCCTGTATAGATGCCGACGCGAAACGAACAACCTAAGAGACTCTAGGCGCATAGGCCGAGCAGAGAATCGACAATATTTCGAAGCGGAGGAGCAAATAGTCCGCGCGGCGGGACTAATTCGCGGAAGAGATTAGGATCGCGAGACGGAGGAGATATCGACGTGCCCGTTGAAAGGATCGTGTTGCTCTCCGCGTGTTCGCATCGCGAGCGTGTTCCAGAGAGGAGAGGAATCCTTTCTCGATACCAATACTCCCAGCCAGCCGGACGAGGACAGGCGGCGAGAACACAGGTTCGCGTATCCAGGCTTCGATCCATCCATTAAAGCGCTCCTATATACGAGAGAGAGCCGGCGAGAAGGATACGCCGGCCATAAATATACGGAGGCCGACTCCGACGTCTGATCCGAGGGAGATTCCTGGCCAGCAAAAATAATCCTCCGGCGTAGAGAAAACGTGCATCCGCGTCGTGACGCCCTGTACCATGCTCTCCGGCCGCGGGAAAAATATATGCGACTCCTTCGCCGACCATATTGGAAAACCCGTGGGACCGATATGGTGGTCGGACGAGGCCGGCGCTCGAGACCACGCTCGAAATTCGCGCCGTATTTGAGACCGGGCATGATTTATATCGTGGACGATGCCCGAGGCGAGATAATTCAGCCTTCGAGCGTGCGGAAAGCGAATTTTTATTCTTTGCAAAACTTGGGACGTCTCGCTTGCGCTTATTTCAAAGGCTAGAGTCTGTATTTTCGAACTACAGGGTGTCCCAAAAATGTCTCGCAATTCGGAACTAGCGGGTTCCTCGGATCATACGAAGCAGTTTCTTCCTTTACGAAATTTTTCTCCGAGGCACCGTTAACGAGTTATTAACGAGAAACAGTGACCAATGAGAGGCGAGATCAGCTGGCGCTAGGCGGCCGAGCCAACGGCGCCAGCGGTCGAGCGGTCGAATCCCAGTTCCGCTGACTGGCTCGGTCATCTCGCGCCAGCCGAGCTCGCCTCTCATTGGTCACTGTTTTTCGTTAATAACTCGTTAACGGTGCCTCGGAGACAATTTTTGTAAAGGAAAAAGTTGCTTCAAATGACCCGAGAAACCCGCCACTTTCGGATTGCGAGACATTTTTGGGACATCCTGTATAGTGAATTCTTCCTAATTTTTCTTCAGCTTGTGAGCAAAAATGGACAATTTGGGAAGAGGAGATACGATTCGACTGGAGTCTTGTGTCTCGTTTTTATAATTATTGACGATCGGCAACTGTAGACATGAGCTGCGAGGCTCGAATAATCGCATCTCCTCTTTCGAAATTCAACATTTTACGAGCTGAAGGATTACGATTACTCGAGCCTTGCACCTCGTTTCTTTTATTGACGATTGGCAACTGCCGAAAAATGAGCTGCGAGGCTCCAATATATACAGTAACGTCTCTCTAATTAACGATTATTTGAGCCTTGTTTTTATAATTGCATATGATCGCATCTCCTCCTCCCAAATCGTCCATTTTTAATTACAGGCTGAGAGCCAATTAGATAGAATTTACTACATTAAACGTAGAAATTAATTCAGAACCTTTTTGTAACAAATTTCGTATTTATTTATAAAATAAGCTTACATCTATTGTTCTTGGAAATAGTTTCCATTGTTTTCGACGACTTTGGCCCCTCTTTCAGGCAACTGCCGAATTCGTTGACGAAAAAGAAATGGTGATTTTGATGCAACGAAGTCGTCAATACGATTTGAAAGATTGAATTGTACAGATTGAAATGATTTTTCTAGATTTTAACCTTCTTCTGTTTCACGTTTACTTCGATGATTGTTTTACAAGTGTCAAACGTCCGTGTTACTATTAAAAAACAAAATCGTAGATCTACTTTCGAGAAGTTATCGCAACGGACAGATCTCCTTTTATAATTTCGCACTGAGATCAATAATATGGAAAAAATTGTTCCGCCTCTGCAAAATTATTCGAACACGTAAAAACGAAGAGAAGCCTGCAGTTTCTTCCTCGCGGCTTTATTTTTCAAGATAATCGACCGAAGCAAAATATTTTCGAGACGAGAACTTATCCGTCTCGTTTCTCCGCGGATCTGCAACGCTTCGACCTTTTAACGTAAAAAGAACGTTCCGCCGCTGCATCTTGTCACGATAATGACCGAATCTCTTTCCGTTCCGCGGCGATCGTACACGCGATCGCTTTCACGCGTCGCAACGCTACACGATCGCCGTTACATTCTTTTCCAACCAAAGTGATAAAAAGTTTTTCATAGTTTCGCAAGATTTGTGCTCGGCTCGTGCACCCGTGGAATTTATACATCCGGTTGTCGTCGCATGCTTCCCTCCTTTAATATCATCCAGCGTGTACGCCCATTAAAGTCTCCCGTATAAATTCTAAATCAGTGATCTCGGCCGTTCATAAAACCGTCCGGCCAGTTTTACGGCGTGAAATAAAGCACCGTGCCGCGTCTTGACGTAATGGATCTCGCGAATCGAGAACGACTGTCATCGTAATTGCGTAGAAGACCGGTGATTGACTATCCGCGGACGCTCGTACCATCGGGCAATTATTTCTCGCGCTTTAAAAAGAAACGGATCGCTTCCTAGGATGATTATTATCCCGGCCGGGAGACGAGCCGGCCCCCTCCATTAATTTTTGACAATGTCTTCATTAATCACGGCGTATATTTAAATGCGACACTGTCCTTGCAGGAAAGCTTCGATGATGTCACCGCGCCAGCTAATGAGAAGCTCGAATATGACGCAGAAATGGCAGCGGAGGGAGATATCGAACTTCGAATACCTGATGTTCCTCAACACGATCGCTGGTAAGATCATCGAGCTCGTTCGCTTAGTTCTTTTAGCTTTTCAATTTGCTTAAGCACGTCGACTGCCGACGATAACACAAAATGGCGCCATAAGAAGGATTACGTTATTACTATTATCATATTTTATTTATATTTTATTATGTTATATTATTACTAGTATTATTTGATTTCATTAGGATTATATTATTACTATTCTCATATTTTATTCATATTTTATTATATTATATTATTACTATTATTATTTGATTTCATTAGGATTATATTATTACTCTATTCTCGTATTTTATTTATATTTTATCATATTATACTATTACTATTATTATTTGATTTCATTAGGATTATATTATTACTCTATTCTCGTATTTTATTTATATTTTATCATATTATACTATTACTATTATTATTTGATTTCATTAGGATTATATTATTACTCTATTCTCGTATTTTATTTATATTTTATTATATTATATTATTACTACTATTATTTGATGTCATTATTACTTTTTACTTAATATTTTTTTCTACTTTTATTTCGGTTTAATAAAAATAACTTAGAGTACACGGTTATCGATCGAATCATCGCGCACGAATAGTGCACATGCATGACAAAATGCTTCATTCATAATTATCATCAATAATCTACCATCGAGATCTACAAAACGCATTTCTAATTTAATATTTCGTTATTTAACTCCGATAATCAAAATTTAAAAAGCGTATTTCAGTTATCGCTTAGCATACTAGTCTTTCTATCATCTGAAAACGATTCGAGTCGGTTCGCTTCACCGCGAAAACAATGCCATTGTTTTTCGAAAGTTGTGCGAATACTTCGGTCGGTCGACGCGCCTAATAATTACAGCGTGTCCCGCGCACCCACGATCTCCGTTATTTGTCGAAACGGCTGATCAGCGCCGATATCCGGCGAAAAGGAGGCGAGGGAGAGCCGGGAGTCTCGAGTTTCGTGATTTAGCCTCGCGACGCGCCTCACAAAAGGATCGGCCGATATTAAACCGAAGGAGAAACAAAGGCGCGGGGGGAGCGGAGAACAGTCGGTCCCTCGGGAGAGGATTACCGGGGCCCACCAGCCGGGGATTACTCGTATGGGGTGGCTAACGGAACACGGGGACTTGATTGAGAACATCCCTAATACGTCGCGACAGATTCCATCCGCCCGTGTGCAACCGTAGATCCTCTATCCTGCTCTATTTCTCTCGGTTGATCCCGCTGTCTTGCTCCGGGCCGCGCTAAAATCGAGCGACGATCGGGCCGGGCTGTCCGCAGACGTCGCATTTTCTTTCCGCAACCGGTAAGCCGATATGATTTTTTTTCTCGACGTCGGTCTACACCCTTCCCCTGCTTTTATTACTGTTATCCTATGTAACAGTTCGGAGAATTCGGTCGGAGGAGGATGTTGCGGTCGCGATGGAAAATAATGTCTAATCCGTTGTTTCTTTTTATAGTCGACCCCTGGCAAATGGCTTCGGTCGAACAAGTTAAGAATCCTTTTAAGGATCAAATAGACCAAGGGTGGCTAAAGCGTCGAGATTCCGTAACTATTCCTAGTCGCCCGCCTGTCTGATATTATCCACGATTATTTCAAATTTAATTTTTGGCTTTAAATTACCGCCTTTTTTAATGATCACTTAACATGCAGGATATTGGTAGATCGCCGACTATAATGTAAAAAACAGTAGTGATCAAAGGTTTGTCCACCTCTGAAATAGACTGTGGACTCTTTTAATACATTATTATATAATAATAAAGAGAATTTAATGCGTTATCTTTCGCTGCATCGATTTCAAGAAATAGAAAGTACGAATAAAACATATTAAAGGATCGTTCAATATTATTATAAGATTATTATAATATAATATTATTATATAATATGTTGGGATAACAGTGAATTTTTTAAACGATTTTTCCGTGTGCAAATTGAGGATCGGCGTGTTTGTACTTGTGATTTAATGATTTAACAATTCCATTTAAATACATGGCAGAGCGATGAACTGATGATCAGACGCCATTGGTACGGCATTTTACAAAAATGAAGATCAATCAGTGATTTCCTCTATCAATTAGAATATTATTCCCTATAAAAAAAGCAAACATGCAATTTCACCTTGTCAATGTATACTTCCTGTTGCAATTTAAAAAGTTGTGTATGCTATAAATGCACAAAAATCCGCCAGATTATTATTTATTATTATTATTTATTATATATTATTATTATTATATATATTATTATTATTTATTATATATATTATTATTATTTATATTCAACGATTCTATCTCGCGATTTTTCGTTGCGATGCCGCATCCAACGAACATTTTCCTATCGAAGTGGCAGCAGTTCCACGGACGAGTCAGTTACATAATTAGCATGAAATCGATTCGACAGTATCATATTCCTTCGCAGCTGTGAAAATCATCGTAAACCAACAGCAGCAGTTAAAAAGAAAGAGACTCCGAACGACTCGTTCTCCGATCCGCGAATCGTTTTTAAAGCCGTCGATCGTTGACGACACGTTGTCGCGTACTCGTCTAGGATGCTAATGGGCGATCGTTCGCGAAGCGGACTCGTAAACAAGCCGATCGCGAATTATGTAAGTGAAGGATTTATGGCTGCCCACGCGCGGGCCGGCCCGCTTAATGACGAGGATCACCGCGGACGCGTAATTATTTGTACATCGACGAGGACGCAGCGAGATGCCAGAGGGTGGTCGTGTATTTACGAGCGTTATATATTAATTGCGCAAATAAATAGTGGTGCCGATGGGGTGGGCAGGGCGGCAGGGGGACGGGCGGGGGGCAGAGGGGTGCGCAATTGGGCAAGGCCCGGCGGGAGAACACGTTGCGAGAACGAACCGGTCCCGCTGCCAGGCTCCCGCATGCGATACAGGCCCCGTTGTTTATTTGCCCGGTCGCATCGGTTTATTAAAAATTAATGATAGTAGAGCCGATGTAAATACGATAGGCGGCTGCGTGTCCCGATCACGAGGCACGGGGATCGCGTGGGTGGAACCCTCTCGTTGCACGTACCGCCACCGCTCCATCTGTCCTCCTTCCGCCCGATCTGCTGCCCCATCCTCTTCGCCGACTTTCTCCCGCAGCTGATGGGTTTACGTTTAATTACATCTCTGCTGCTTCTTGCGGTATCCGCCTTTGCCGCGATGATTGCTTTACGAGATTGTTTCACGCCGTTTTCGCAGATAGAATCTCCGTAGTTTTTCGGAGGCCGTTCAGAGCCGAAGCGATCGGGAAGATTGGGTGATACGCCGCGTCTCGTAACTGTATAAAACCACCCAAATATTTTCACTTTGTACACGCGATAACTGATGACGTGTAGCATGCGCGATATCGTGTTGAGAAACAATGGACTGACGAGATTGGGAAACGGAGAGACGGTGAAACACTGACTGATTTGAGGTGTGCAGAATCGAATATTTGAACAAATTATTGTTACAATA